TTCCTGGTGCCAGGAATCCAACCTTCGTCTTCCTGTTTGTTTTCCTACACATTCAAGCACTCAGAAGTGTTTCTCAATCAAAAACCCCCATTTCTCCTCCTGCTCGGATGATTCATCCAGAGTCTTGGCCTCGGTGTCCTGCTGTTTCAGGGAAAAGGGACTCTGGGGACGGAGTGGGGAGCATAATCAAGCTCGTCCAGACAGCCTCGCTTCTGTGACAGTCTCCACGGACAGGATGAGTAAGACGTGGTGCACCTTCACACCGCAGCAGGAGAGGGGCAGGCGGGAGGGCCCGCTGCTGGGGTGACATGGTCACCGGGAGCTGTCTCCCCCAAAGAAACCACTGACGGCTAGAAGGCCTTCTTGTGACCAGGATGGTCATTTACAGCTTTTTAATATTCACAGCCATTGGTCAGTGTCCGTGAAGGCCCAGCTGGGGAAGGGACGGAAGGGTGCCTGATGCACCCCAGTGCTCGGGTGTCGGAGGCCCTGTCTCTCTGGTGGATCCATGTTTCCTCCGCGAAAATCAAACCCTGCCGGCCCACCCCTGAGACTTCATTCTGTCTTCGAGAACAAAGACCCTGTAAACTGCAGGAATAACAGGCAGGTTCCAGGACACCTGGAGTCTTTATTTTGGGAGGTAAATTACGAATCTGAGGCTTTTCCCTCCACTTCCAAAGCCTCAGGGAACCAACCTCACACGGCAGCCGCTGGAGCAGGTTGATGGACAAACTCTGAGCACTGCTTCTCATCGTCTGTCCCCAAAACACTTTGTCTTTTAAATGGTGAGCTTACATGGTTTTATTCCTAATTTTAATTTCACAACCTTTTGAGAATAAAGTACTCTCCAGCAGCATTAGTAACAGAAAGCACACAGGTCTTCAACAGACAGAATTCTGCTTCGTCAAAAGGTGAGGATGACCCCTCTGCGCGCCAGTGGACACTGTCTCCAAGGTCCTAGATGATGCCACTGACCTCACAGGCCTTCTCCACTCTCTGGGCCGTGTCCTCGGCCGTCACCGGAGGGGGCAGGGCAGAGTCGTGGTCTGTTGCCCACTGGCCACGCAGGCTTTCTCCACTCTCTGGGCCGTGTCCTTGGCCGTCACCGGAGGGGACAGGGCAGAACCGCAGTCTGTTGCCGACGGGGTGCATGGGGTCCGGGGGAACGCAGTTGCCTCAGGCAGAACCGCGTGCGGACGACAGGCCACGCTCTGGACTGGGTGTCCATGCGAGCAGAGAGAAACACAAAACCTCTGTCCTCACAGAGCTGGGGCTACTGCATTTTAACTCAGTTCAGAAAGAGAAGAGTATGACCTAGTAAATGTGTGAACAATACCTGGCGTAACCCCACGCGGCCAGGCGGGAGGACCCCGTGCAGACGGGCAGTGGCCGGAGAGTCAGACAATAAAAGGCGCCCGAGCCGGGGCTCCCCGACACACACCACCCATGTGGCCAAGGACACGCAGATGACACAGTGACAGCAGATCAGACACAGGACACGAGTCATGGGAGAGGAAAGACACACACTCGGTCCGCAGCTCCCGCTCGGACTCTCCAAGAATCCCGAAGGCCTGGCGCACGCGAGACCTGGGCTCAGGCGGGCGGACAGACAGCTCCTGAGGCCCTGCAGGAGGGCCGGTCACAGAGCCACCAGACGGCCGGCCGCTGTGTGCAGACGGCACAGAGCCCCCGCCCGAGGAGCCGGCTGCTGCCCCCCGGCCCCGGCCCCGGCCCCGCAGTGCCGTCCTGAGCCTGAAGTGGGCTGACAAGCAGAAGGAGAGCCCCTGTGCAGGCCACAGGATGCTTGGGGCTGTATTCTTCCATTTCTAGGGCAGTGAGCAGCCTGGGTTGTAGCTAAAATCAGAGCACTTTCTTTTGTTTTGTTTTCAAAACCAGGTGAAAGATAAATTACTCTGCATCAGATAGGGAAACATTACTTGGATTGCCATACTCTTAAAATACATCACAGGATGACCATCCGTCGTCTGAAGGTTGTTCATGGAATGTCTGCCCTCACACATGAGTGTCACTCGGACAGACGTGGTATCTGCTGTCTGTTTGGGGATAATGTCAGGGGAGGGGTGAGAGAAGCCAGAAGTTTGGGACTCAGGGTCCAGGGGAAGGGAACGGGACAGGAAGGAGCTGAAAAGAGACAGAGGGAGAGGGAGGGAGAGAAAACATGTCTCAAAGCTCGAGACACCCGGTGAGGGTCCGGGTGAGGTGTGGGAACGGTGGGGACTCCCCAAGGGTCTGAGGGTCCGGGCGAGATGTGGAAACGGTGGGGACTCCCCGAGGGTCCGGGCGAGGTGTGGGAACGGTGGGGACTCCCCAAGGGTCTGAGGGTCCGGGCTGAGGTGTGGGAACGGTGGGGACTCCCCGAGGGTCCGGGCGAGGTGTGGGAACGGTGGGGACTCCCCGAGGGTCCAGGCCGAGGTGTGGGAACGGTGGGGACTCCCCGAGGGTCCGGGCGAGGTGTGGGAACGGTGGGGACTCCCCGAGGGTCCGGGCGAGGTGTGGGAACGGTGGGGACTCCCCGAGGGTCCGGGCTGAGGTGTGGGAACGGCGGGGGCTCCCCGAGGGTCCGGGCCGAGGTGTGGGAACAGTGGGAACTCCCCGAGGGTCCGAGGGTCGGGGCCGAGGTGTGGGAACGGTGGGGACTCCCCGAGGGTCCCGGCGAGGTGTGGGAACGGCGGGGACTCCCCGAGGGTCTGGGCTGAGGTGTGGGAACGGTGGGGACTCCCCGAGGGTCCCGGCGAGGTGTGGGAACGGTGGGGACTCCCCGAGGGTCCGAGGGTCGGGGCCGAGGTGTGGGAACGGTGGGGACTCCCCGAGGGTCCGGGCGAGGTGTGGGAAGGCGGGGACTCCCCGAGGGTCCGGGCGAGGTGTGGGAAGGCGGGGACTCCCCGAGGGTCCGGGCCGAGGTGTGGGAACGGTGGGGACTCCCCGAGGGTCCCGGCGAGGTGTGGGAACGGTGGGAACTCCCCGAGGGTCCGGGCGAGGTGTGGGAAGGCGGGGACTCCCGAGGGTCCGGGCCGAGGTGTGGGAACGGTGGGGACTCCCTGAGGGTCCAGCGAGGTGTGGGAACGGCGGGGACTCCCCGAGGGTCCGGGCCGAGGTGTGGGAACGGCGGGGACTCCCCGAGGGTCCGGGCGAGGTGTGGGAACGGCGGGGACTCCCCGAGGGTCCGGGCGAGGTGTGGGAACGGCGGGGACTCCCCGAGGGTCCGGGCGAGGTGTGGGAACGGCGGGGACTCCCCGAGGGTCCGGGCGAGGGTGTGGAACGGCGGGGACTCCCCGAGGTCCCGGCGAGGTGTGGGAACGGTGGGGACTCCCCGAGGGTCCGGGCGAGGTGTGGGAACGGTGGGGACTCCCGAGGGTCCGGGCCGAGTGTGGGGAACGGCGGGGACTCCCCGAGGGTCTGGGCCGAGGTGTGGGAACGGCGGGGACTCCCCGAGGGTCCGGGCGAGGTGTGGGAACGGCGGGGACTCCCCGAGGGTCCCGGCGAGGTGTGGGAACGGTGGGGACTCCCCGAGGGTCCGGGCAAGGTGTGGGAACGGCGGGGACTCCCCGAGGGTCTGGGCCGAGGTGTGGGAATGGCGGGGACTCCCCGAGGGTCCGGGCGAGGTGTGGGAACGGTGGGGACTCCCCAAGGGTCCGGGCCGAGGTGTGGGAACGGTGGGGACTCCCTGAGGGTCCGGGCGAGGTGTGGGAACGGCGGGGACTCCCCGAGGGTCTGGGCCGAGGTGTGGGAACGGTGGGGACTCCCCAAGGGTCCGGGCCGAGGTGTGGGAACGGTGGGGACTCCCCGAGGGTCCGGGCGAGGTGTGGGAACGGCGGGGACTCCCTGAGGGTCCGGGGCGGGTGTGGGAATGGTGGGGACTCTGTGCTGTTGGACGCACGGTGCCCCCTCCCCCCGCCCCACACCCAGGCTCTCAGCGCAGGTCGTGGAGATGAGACCTCTGAGGAGGTGACTGCGTTAGCTGAGGTCACCTGGGCGGCACACAGTGCAACAGGACCGGTGTCTCTGTGAGAGGAGGGGGCGAGGACGGATGCGCACAGAGGGAACGCCACGTGAGGACACGGGAGCAGACGGCCACCTGCAAGCCGAGGAGGGCGGCCTCGGGGGGAACCAGCCACCGACCCTGGAGCCCAGCCCCGGGCCCGGCAGTGACGCTCTGCTGTCTCAGCGGCCGCCTGTCTACTCTGTGCACCGCCCCAGGTTCATTCCCTCCTCGGTGCCGGTCCGTCACAGCAGGAGGCCGCCTGTCTACTCTGTGCACCGCCCCAGGTTCATTCCCTCCGTCGGTGCCGGTCCGCCACAGCAGGAGGCCGCCTGCCGAGCAGCTGGCCTCCGAGTCCCGGTGGCCTCCAGGTGGCCCGGAGCTGGCGTGGCAGACCCGCCCACCGTCGCCACACCAGCGTCCTGGAACCCAGGGCTCCCCCAGGACCAGTGTCCACGCTGCACAGCCGTGCTCCTGTGCTCTCGGGGCCACGTGGGGCGCGTGAGCCAGCGAGGTGCAGGACAGGGGCCACAAAAAAGGGGCACAGCTCTGAGAGGCAGGGGCAGAGCTGTGAGGTCTGGCAGGTCTGGGCGCTCTGGGCAGGCTCGTCTCAGAGGACGTCCTTGCGAGTGGCACCTGGCGGCAGCACGAGGCGGGAGTGTCTGTGTCAGTTGTGAGGACAATTACAGGCCTGTCAGGGCACAGGCCCCAGGCACGGAGAAGGGGCGGGGGCAAGGGCCCCCCCGGAGCACCCGTCCTATCACAGAACAGTGCTCTCTGGATGCTCAGCAGCTCCTGCAGCCAGAGGGCCACCCCCCCCCCCCGCCGCGCCCCCCGCAGGCCTGGCGGTCCCCCAGCAGGCGCCTACCTAGGATCCACTTCTCCGACAGGTACGTGACGGTCGCCTTCCTCTTTCCTTGGCAGGGCCCGATGCAGACGCTGGCCTGGCGAGGGACACCCGTGACCCGACCGCCACACAGGAGGACCAGCTCCCACAGCTTGGCTCTGGGGGGGTCACTGGCCGGCGAGATGAACATGGTGGGCTGGCGGGCGAACAGGGACCCGCGGTGCTGCCCTGCGGACAGACAGCGCTCCAGGCGGCAGAGCTGTGGGCAGAGACAGGGGTCAGGCCCAGGCAGTGTGGGGAGGTCGGCTGGCCGCCCACGCCCCCCGCCGGGAAAGGGACAGATGAATGGCAGGTTCTGGGGTGAACCCGGAGTTCTGAGGACCCAGAGCAGACGATGACGTGGGCATGGCACTTTCTGAAGCAGCGCGAGCTGCAGGCAAACAGCTCAGGCAGAGAACGGTCTGGCCTTCGAGTGAGCACACACTCCAAACGGAACTTGTGAAGAGTGCTCAGCTGGGCCACACAGTGAGGGAGCACCCCAGCTCCATGAACCCGAAGCCACTGTGCCAGCACTTGAAGAGCAGCCTGGGTCCGGGTGCCTCCGTGCTCCGGGCAGCACGTGGCGGTCATGGGCCTGAGGAGGGTCTCCATGCTGCCCTTCGGTTTGCACAGGGGTGCACAGTAGAACCCCCAGCTTCTCCCCGAGCACGCAGGCTGGGGGTGAGCCGTGCACAGGCACGTCAGGGGCTCCATCCCCGAGCACAGGCACGTTGGGGGCTCCCTCCCCAGCACAGGCACGTCTGGGGGCTCCCCCCTGAGCACAGGCATGTCGGGGGCTCCCTCCCCAGCACAGGCACGTTGAGGGCTCCCTCCCGAGCACGCAGGCTGGGGGTGAGCCATGCACAGGCACGTCAGGGGCTCCCTCCCCAGCACGGGCACGTCGGGGCTCCCTCCCCAGCACGGGCACGTTGGGGGCTCCCTCCCGAGCACGCAGGCTGGGGGCTCCCTCCCCAGCACGGGCACGTCGGGGGCTCCCTCCCCACACCCTCCCCAGCACAGGCACGTCGGGGGCTCCCTCCCCAGCACAGGCACGTCGGGGCTCCCTCCCGAGCACGCAGGCTGGGGCAAGCCCTGCGCAGGCACGTGGGGAAACGGGGAGGAGCAGAACTGGACAGGGGAACCCGTGGGAGGAGGAGGCTAAGCTCCACTTGTTCTGAGGACGCTATGGGCGCCTGGCTCGCCCAGGGATGGAGGGCAGGCCCAGTTACCCTGAGCACACATTTCACTCACGACAGACAAAAGAAGCCATCTCTCTATGTGCCAGCTCCCTCTGGGGGACGTGGAAGGCTCCCCGCTGTCCGCACTGGGGGTGCTGTAACTGGCTTACTGCCCCAAGGACAGGACTGGACATCCAAGGTGCAGGCTCAGAGCAACGAGCGACTGATGAGAGGTTTGCGGGGTAAAAAGATCAAGGGGGCCCTGGCCGGTTTTGCTCAGTGGTTAGAGCGTCGGCCTGCGGTCCAGAGAGACCCGGGTTCGGTTCCCGCTAAGGGCATGTACCTCGGTTGCAGTTTGTCCCCGGCCCTGGTTGGTCGTGCGGGTGGCAGCCACTCGATGTGTCCCTTTCACGTCGACGTTTCTCTCTCTCTCTCTCTCCCTCCCACTCTGTCTGAACAAAAAATGGAAACATGTCCTCAGCTAAGGATAAAATAAATAAATAAAAGATTGAGGGGTGCTTCTTGGGGGAGTGTGACCAGGGTGGGGGCAGTGGGTGGGAGAGGAGCAGCGTAGACAGGACAGGGCGGAGGGACGACAGCAGGCAGAGCACAACTGACGATGTCGAGGGAAGACCGGACTGCCTCCTACTAGGTGTTCAAACTGCTCGTTAAGCACAGGACTTGACGGTAAAAAAGCCCCAATGATAAGCAACCTAAATGTCCACGGACAGAGGAACCGGTAGGGAAGACGCGGCACTTAGGACACAGAATATTACGTGGCCATAAAAAAGAATGAGAAAGGAAAAAAAAAATCCTGCCTTTTGGACAACATGGATGGATTCAGAGGACAGTAATGCTAAGTGGAATCAGTCAGACAGACAGAGACAAATGCATAGGATTTTACTTAAATGTGGAATCAGATGGACAAAGTAAACTAACAAACAAAACAGGAACAGACTCATGGACACAGAGCAGACCGATGGCTGCCAGGCGGGAGGGGTCGGAGGACGGGGGGAGGAAGAAGGAAGTGCAACGCACGCACGAAGCGCAGGTCAGAGACGGTCGCGGGGACATCAAGGGCGTGCAGTCCTGGTGCTGGGTGGCTGGACGGTGTCAGGTGGGGCGGGCTGAGGTGAAGGCTCGGTGAGTTACGTGAATGTCTAGTCACTATGCTGTGCACCTGAAAATACCTTGTCGGCTGTGATGGGAAAACAAACAAACTTTTAAAGTTTGTTGTGTTTTTCTAAACTCTGGACAACACACACATATTAGGATAGTTTGTTTTGCCAACAGCTGAAAAGGATCAAGGGTATCCTGGTGGATGGGAAGGCAGCGACCCACTTCACGCCAGCAGAGGACACACGTAACCCGTCAGGCACGAGCAGACACGTGCCCCCTATGTGGCACATGCAGACCTCTCTCATGTTTAGAACGCGACTTCAGCCGCTAAGATTCTTCGGTCTCCTCCCTCCCATTTACTCGACGCTTACTGTCTGCCAGGCTGTGCCAGGGACTCAAACACAAATAAGCAGTGATCCCTGACCTCAGGTCTCACGGCACACAGACGTCAGCGGATGGAAATGCTTCCTCCTTCAGCTTGAGGTCAGGGGGTCAGAGATGACCGAGATGGAACTCTTCGCCCAGAATCACTGGACGACACCCATGAGGACTCCCAGTCCTGCGTAAAATACGTGCTAGGACAGCATCACCAGGACTAGGTACTTAAAGCTAAACACGAGCCCTGGCCGGTTGGCTCCCTGTGAGAGCGTCGGCCCGTGGACCAAAGGTTCTGGTCAAGGGCACGTACCTCAGTTGTAGTTCATCCACAGCCCTGGTTGGGGTTGTGCGGGAGGCAACCAGTCAATGTGTCTCTCTCATGTCGATGTTTCCCTCTCTCTCCCTCCCTACCTCCCACTTTATCCGAAAATAAATGGAAAAATATCCTTGGGTGAGGATCACACATATGCACACACACACACACACACGCACACACACACCCTGGAAGCGAATGCAGGAATGGAACACACGAACCCACTCCCCTGTGCACAAGGACATGTATGTGCTGGAGCTGAGCGTCCCGGAGAGGACGATCACGGGCTACTCTTCTGCACACTGTAAACATGACAGGGCTCAGGCTGCTTACCACGGACTTCAGCCGAGCTCATTCCAGCCAGCGGGACATCCCAGAGCGTGACACTCCCCACTGCTCCCCAAGGACAGACCCGTGTCCTTACCCCGGCCCCCAGTGCTGTCCCATCTTAGGTCCTCTGAGCCCAAGTCCCAGGGTGGCCTTGCCCTTGGAGACTGACTGACTATGTGCAGATCGTACAAGTGCTTCGCTACTGGAGGACGTGGCATTGCTTCAGGAATTCTGACCCTGACTCAAGCTCTCTCTCTAGCAAAGCTCTGGGTCGTCCCTACGGGTCCATTTTTACACACAAGGTCCGTAGCCGCGCACCTTGGGTGTGCCCCCTGGCCTTACCCCGCAGCGCTGCTGTGACTTTGACATCAAGGGGGAAACCCTCACGAACACATTTTATTTTATTTTTCTGATTTCACCTGAGGATTTGCTTTTTTAAATTGATTTCAGAGAGAGGGAGGGAGAGAGACAGAAACATCGTATGCACCCTAACTGGGGATCAAACCTAAAACCCAGGTATGTGCCCTGACCAGGGATTGAACCTGACAACTTCCGGTGTACGGGCAACACTCCATCTAGCAAACGAGCCGCCTGGCCAGGGAGAAACCACACAGACACTTCGAAGCTGACTTGCTGTCAACTGTTTCCTTGTCTCTCAATCACTTTCGTAAAAGCAACTCATGGCAATTTACTCTGAAGTTTACTTTCGCTTTGAACTTTTCCTCACCCGAGGACATTTCTTCATTTTTTGTTCAGGTAGAGTGGAAGAGAGAGGAACAGAGAGAGAGAGAAACATCGACGTGAAAGGGACACATCGAGTGGCTGCCACCCGCACAACCGACCAGGGCCAGGGACAAACTGCAACCGAGGTACGCGCCCTTAGCGGGAACCGAACCCGGGTCTCTCAGGACCGCAGGCTGACGCTCTAACCGCTGAGCCAAACCGGCCAGGGCTCGCTTTGAACTTTTCAAAACACACACACAGACACTGCAGATGGTGCCCACTGTCAGTGCTCCTGGTTCTCAGCCTTGGGATGAGGACTGACCTGCACCACCGGCTGTCCTGGGCCCCCAGCCTGCAGATGGCAGATCATGGGACTTCTCAGCCTCTGAACCATATGAGCTGATTCCTAAATTAATCTCCTCTTGTCTGTCTGTCTACCTACCTATCCATCCATCCGCCCACCCACCCATCCACCATCCATCCATTCATCCACCATCCATCCATCCACCCACCCATTTATCCACCATCCACCCATTCATCCACCATCCATCCATTCATCCACCCACCCACCCACCATCCGTCCACCCATCCACCCACCCACCATCCGTCCACCCATCCATCCACCATCCATCCATCCATCCATCCATCCATTCATCCATCCATCCATCTGCCCATCCACCCACCATCCATCCATTCATCCACCATCTATCCATTCACCCACCCACCCATCCACCATCCACCCACCCATCCATCCATCCACCCATCCACCCACCCACCATCCGTCCACCCATCCACCCACCCACCATCCGTCCACCCATCCATCCACCATCCATCCATCCATCCATCCATTCACCCACCATCCATCCATTCATCCACCATCTATCCATTCACCCACCCACCCATCCACCATCCACCCACCCATCCATCCATCCACCCACCCACCACCTACCCATCATCCACCCACCCACCATCCATCCACCCATCCATCCATCCACCCGCCCACCCACCACCCGCCCACCCGTCCACCCCTAAACTGGAAAGGCTGACAGGACCAGGTGACCGCACACCATGAGCACTCACCCCCCCCCTCCCCGGAAGGGCTGGTACACAGAAGTAAGACTCAGAGTGTTATAAAAAGCTATTTTAAACAGTAACTAGAGAGAACATCACTTGAAAGGTTAAGAAAGAGTCAAAAATCATGAATAAGGAGACCTCATTATAACTGGGCTTCTCTGTGTAACTTACTACAGCTTTTCAACTGGCATCTGCTCAGAGACCCTGAGCGGAGCCCAGAGCAGCCCGTCAGAACAAACCGCGTGCACGGTCTCACATCTAGTTAAGCTGCCCTGCGGTGCGTCTGTGGCTTACTAGCAGCATGTTCGAAGTACCCGTCAGGAAGCAGACAGCGCACACGCGAGGTCAGCGTGCACAGAAGAGTTTGAGAAGCACAGCTGGAGTCACGTCTAACACAGAACAATTCTTAAAGCTGCTCACGTTTAGAGTGAAAAACTCTAGCACCAAAAGGACTGACCTGAGCCCGGCTGTTCGTTTACTAGTGAGCACACCAAGGCCCGGGGAAGGTGCACGGGCCACAGGTAGAGCAGCAGCATGGAATACAGCAGCCAGGCCCTCTGCAGGGGTCTGACCCGGCCCCCAGACCTGCTGGGCCGGGGCGGGAGGGAGGGAGACGAGGATGGTAACACGGGTTCTCCCTCCAAGCACATCGCCCCCCACTGTGCGACCCGAGCCAGTACCAGTGCTGCCCAGGGTGCGGGGACAGAACGTGAGCACACCAGGCCTTGTCGTCAGAGCCTTATCATCCTCGACTCATTGTTTTCGACGGAGCTGGGCAGAAGACGCCTTCATCCTGACTGATCCTCAGCAGCTGTCGACTCTGCAGCTTACGACCTCGCCCTCCCTTTTGAACCGTGATCAGCATTTTTTTTTTTTTTTTTAAGGAAAAGGCAACCATTTTTCCTGATTGTTTTCTTTGTATTAATTTTGTTTACAGATGTCCCTCCTTTTCCCCCATTGACGCTCTTTAGCCTGACTCCCAACCCCTTCACCACACTGTTCTCTGTGCCCACTGATTATGTATGTACGGGCGGAGGACCTGAAGAGACACCTCTCCAAACAGGTAATACAAATGGCCAAGAGACATCTTAAAAAAATGCTCAACGTCACTAATCATCAGAGAGATGCAAATTAAAACAACTATGAGGTATCACCTCACACCTGTCAGAATGGCCGCCATCAACAAATCATCAAACAACAAGTGTTGGCGAGGGTGTAGAGAAAAGGGGACTCTAATACACTGCTGGTGGGAATGCAGACTGGTGCAGCCACTATGGAAAACAGTATGGAGTTCCCTATAAATATTAAAAATGGAACTGCCCTTTGACCCAGTGATCCCACTTTAAGAATGTATCCTAAGAAGCCTGTCAGAAAGAATATATGCACCCCTATGTTCACAGCAGCGCTATTTACAATAGCTAAGATCTGGAAACAGCCCAAGTGTCCATCAGTAGATGAATGGATAAAAAAGCTGTGGTACATGTACACAATGGAGTACTATGCAGCTGCAAGAAAGAAAGATCTCTTATCCTTTGAGACAACATGGAGGGACCTGGAGAATATTATGCTAAGCGAAATAAGCCAGTCTGGGAAAGACAAATACCACACGATACCACTTATTTGTAGAATATAATGAACATAATAAGCTGATGAACAAATTGGATACACGGAAGCGGGGAACAGACTGAGAAGCCGCAGAGGGAAGGGGGGTGGGAGGGCGGGAAGAGATAAACTAGCCTTGGTTTTTAAAACTGTTTCAAGTTCACTAGTTTCCACTTCACGGGGAGATAATGGCTACATAATCAGCACTGACTGCAACACCACAAGGTTTCCAAGTGTTCTGCAAATAGAAGTTGAGAAAAACTTCAGAGTTTCTCCAAAAAACGAGAATGCGGGAAGGAGAGGAGGGTGGACAAGGATCCCGCCTGCTGCCTGCGGCACGGGACGCTTCTCCCCAAGGACACTTCAGCGAACACAGAGTCTGGGACGGTGCCCAGAGGAAGGGCAGGAAGGCCTGTCTGGTGCGCAGGTCTCAGGACGTGCTCCTGAAGGTCTCGTTTCGGGAACAAAGGGCAATGAAGTGCCAGGTGGAAACATTGCTGGGGAGCTTCCCCAAAGCCAGCAATGAGCCCGTCACCTGCCCCCCCCCACCGTAATCGGTTGCAATTTAAGCCAAAGCCAAGTGCGCCCCGACCTACACCACAGGATGTTGGGACAACCCACTTGGTCTACGCCCAACTTGAATTTTTAAAAAAGCGTCCGTTGAGTTTTAACGGCTACATAAGTGATGGGAACATAATCGTCTTGGGAATCCACAAATAACCCTTAAAAAAGCATAAATCTGGCCTTCATGCCTTGTAGTTTTCAACACTGTAGGAAGCGGGTCCAGGTCTGGCGCTGGTTCGAGCTCCGCGGCGTCCGGCTGGCGCTGGGCCTCTCCATCCGCTTCGCTCACACCCGCGATCCAGCCACACTGGCCTCTGGGCTGCTTTCCACTGTTTCCACAAATCAAGGTAAAAACACACATGTGGAAACCACTTCTGGTTTTACAGGACTTTTTATTTGACCCTTAAAAACTGTCCCGTAGGTGGCGAGAGATGTGTGAACCTGCGAGAAAACTGGGGCCCGTGGTGTGACAATCCTCAGAGAGCGGCCACCCACTGAGAGACAGCCCTCGCTGCGACAGCCCGGGGCCCTAGTTCCTCTGTCTTCGCTCTGCTCTGTCTCCAGGCTGCCCCAGCCTGTCCCCGCCTCCCTGTCTGCAGGCCTGTGCCCCCCCCCCCCCCAGCTGTCCCACCCTGGCACGGAGGCCTGCCCTGCAGTGCTGCTCGGGCCCAGCTCCCTGTGGGAGAGCCCCCTGGCAGCCTGGCCATGCTCCCTGCGGGGGCTGCCCTTCCTCAGGCGGAGCCCGCCCGGCCGGGCTTGCTGGCCTCCGCCCGCTATGGCGGTGTCTTGGCGGCCGCACTGCCGAGAGCACCCGGGACAGGCCCGAGCTTTACACCACAGGCCTCCTGGTTTCCACGGTGCCACCCTCTCCTCCCGCTCAGGTGCACGCCTCCCTCGATCTAACTCCATTCCCCGAGCCCCACGTGGGGGCCAGGGAGAGGCGTTTCCTCCATCCCCTCCCTGCAGCGGCCGGCCACCGGCTGCTTGACTCCCAAAGGCCCCGTAACTCGGGCGCGGACCAGGACACCATGCAGAGGCCAGGTGTTATCAGGAAGCTCTCAGTCAAGGCCGTATTCGGGACGAAGATTTATACAATAAACTGTCATGAATTTTATCTTTAGGTTACTTTCTTTAGGTTACTTTAGGCCCGCGAGCTACTTCTAGGTTAGTTCACCATCCGCTGCTGTGAGTTTCTGAGTGTGAGTGGGATGTTGTCTTCCCCTTTCTGGGAGGGCTAACAGACGGTTAGCTATTTCGCTCTGTGTACAAGTACATGAAGCAACTCTACCATTTCAAGGTGTCAAGGTGTTCTCCTTACGCTCAACCCAGGCGCATCCTTCCCAGGGCGAGGGACAGCTCTCAGATGCCCGACACTGGGCTCGGCGACCTGCGGCCGCCCCAGGGGCACCGAACCCACTGGATGTTTGGAAACGTGCTTATCCAGTCTTTCCATTAACAAAACTTTCTATAAACAAAACTTACCCATCTGGACTTTTTAAAATCAAATCAACGTCTTCTTATTGTACAAACGCAATTTCTTTAACTCTCAGTCCTTAAACAGGAGCTCGCTGTGTGTGCACCCGTCACGAGGGCCCAGGCCAGCAGCCAGAGGGGCCCCGCGAGGCCGGCTGCAGAGCGGACGCCGCCCTGGTGCTGTCCTGGACACAGCAGCAGTCCCCGTGTCCTGTCGGGGGAGGCACCCAGCACCGGTCACATCTCTGACTTATCTGCTGCTAAGTCTTCGGTCAGAAATGCCGCCCGGCCGTCGCATTATTCTGTCCGTCCGCCCGGTGGTGTGGTTTCCGGACCCATCCCAGGGAAGGCAGGGGACTCTCTGCTGCTACGTTTCGAAAGACTTCCTCCTGGGTGAAACAGGCTTTTCCCCAGTGAATATGGAAACCCAAGGGAGGTAGGGCCCTGGGAGGAAGGAGAAGACGGACATCGGACAAACCCATGGAAGAAAAGAGCCCAAGTGGATGTCGCAGCTGGATGAAAGGGTGAAAATGCCCCCCCACATGAGGGACGGGTCTAGATTTGAGGAGCCTGGGAAGAAGAGGGGCCGGGATTCCTCTGGCTCCCCACCCAGGGGCTGCGGGGTCCACTGGCCGAGCCTCCTTCATCCTCTGCACACCCTACTGGACGCAGGAGGGTGGAAGGAGAAGCCGCCTCTCCCGGGGAACAGGTGAGCATCTACTGGACGTAACTTGATCACTGCAAGAAACTGTGCCCACATTACAAAAATATGCTGGAGAATTCGGTCACTGGAACAGTCCACTGTGTTTTACCCACGGAAAGATCATCCTGGAGGTTCATTAGGGCATTTTTCTTTCTTTTTTTTTTTTTTTTTATCCTCACCCGAGGATATTTTTCCATTTTTTTTGTACAGATAGAGTGGGAGGGAGAGAGAGAGAGAGAAACATCGACGTGAAGGGACACATCGAGTGGCTGCCACCCGCACGACCAACCAGGGCCGGGGACAAACTGCAACCGAAGTACGTGCCCTTAGCGGGAACCGAACCCGGGTCTCTCCGGACTGCAGGCCGACGCTCTAACCGCTGTGCCAAACTGGCCAGGGCTCATTAGGGCATTTTTCATCTGTAGGGAACGGAGCCCCACACAGAGACCGGACCGGAATGGTCCAGTGTCCACTTCTCCTTCGAGGCCCAGCACGGGTGGAAACGGCAAAGGCTGGTGGGTGACCAGTCAGGGCCTCGTCTGGTGCTGTCCCTGGTGCTGCAGCTGTGCGCAGGGAGGACGCCAAGGGCCAGCCCGGCACAGCTGTCAGCCAGACAGACTGACATGCAAGGGAAGCACTAGAAAGAGCACATTTCGATCCTCGCAAGCTCTGCTTCTCAACACAGCCTGGAATGCCTGCACACGGAGTGCAGACCCCGCGGGGTGGGAAGGGTGATGGTCGTCAGGGACTGGCTGGATCTCAGTTTAGATTTCTTCTGAGACCCTCACACTGCCCTCGTTCAGTGATCGGCCGGAAGCCAAGGCCAGCTTTAGGATAAGAAGTGCCACAGCTCGTACTGAGGGTGGGCCGGTGAGTCCTGGCCAAGCTCCCAGCTTCCTCCCGGCTGGTCCTTTGCCATGGTTCTGTCTTCGAATGCAAACGTCCCTGGGAGAGGGACCACCCTGGCTTGAGTTCACATAAATGCATAAGCCACTGACTGTCATTTCCTAGCAATGTCGATGTGCCTTTTGTTTTTGTGCTGAACTTTGAAAATCTACAGTGTTGCGGTATAATTCATAAACAAGGTACCCATTTTGAAGGCACAAAGTTTAATGACGTTGACACATGATACTCCCACGCATGACAGAGCCCCACAGAGACGGAAGGCGTCCATCAGCCCAGACTCGCACCCCCGGCAGCTGGTGCAACCTGTCCCCAAGCCCCAAGGAGGGGAGTCAGCATACCCTGCCGGCTTCTTAGCTCAGCCTATGTGTTCGAGGTCCGGCGAGGTGGCTGCGTGTAGACGCCGCTGTGTTACTTTATGGCTGAGTTACTCCTCCTTACTGCAGTAGACGCCGCTGTGTTACTTTATGGCTGAGTTACTCCTCCTTACTGCAGTAGATGCCGCTGTGTTACTTTATGGCTGAGTTACTCCTCCTTACTGCAGTAGATGCCGCTGTGTTACTTTATGGCTGAGTTACTCCTCCTTACTGCAGTAGACGCCGCTGTGTTACTTTATGGCTGAGTTACTCCTCCTTACTGCAGTAGACGCCGCTGTGTTACTTTATGGCTGAGCCACCGTTTTTGCCCATTCACTTGGTGACTGACATTCACTTGGTGATAAGGCAGCTATGAACAGTGGTCCGTCTTTTTATTTTTGACAGATGCTTCCCTTTCTCTTGGGTAAATACCCAGAAGTGGAATGGTTGGATAAGTACTCATTAAATTTCAATAAGAAATGGCCAAATAGGTCTCTGAAGTCCCTGCCATGTGACACCCCCACGCCTTGCCCCCGCCCCGCCGAGCCTGAGTCCTGGCTGCTGTGTCCTTCCATCTCATGCCGTTCGGCCTGGGCATTCGCTGGCCGCAGTGGGTGTGCGGACGCCTCTCGTTGTGGTTGTGGTTTGCGTTTCCCAGACAACTGGCCACCGGCAGCTTTTCTCGGGCTCTCTGTCATCCATGCAGCTTCTGTGAAGTTCTGCTCCTCTGCCTGGTCCATTTTCAAAGAACTTGGATTGGGCTGTAAGAGTTCTTTACCTGTTCTGAATACAAGTTCCTTTTCAAATATTTGGAATATTTTCATATAGAAATAGTTCCCTTCCGGGGCTTGCTGTTTCACTTTCTTAATGGTGTCTTTCAAGGAACATAACTTTTCATTTTCATGAAGTCAAACTTGGGTTTGTAACACACTCACCACAGACACTCTCACACACACACATGCACGAGCATGGACACAATTTTATATGTTACATGTGTATATTCATTTGTGTCTATGTTTTTTTCTACTTTAATCCCACACATGCCAGGCCCTATTTAGCTTACCATATCTCATAAAATAATCAGGATGGACTAAAATACAGAAACACTAAACAATATCCTTCAGAGAGTGGCCAGAGGTCAGACCCAGGAGCAGAGTTGAAAGACGCGAATCCAAGCTGGGCCAAGGGGTGACTAAGAGGGAAAGAGATAAGATCTGTCTACAAAACCTGCAGCTGTAAACAAGGGAGCCACAGAGCAGGCCCCATAGAGGCTGACCAGGAATGTGCTCGGATTCAGGAAAGGAAGTGGACAAGCAAGGAAGGCCTCGGCTGCACTGGGGGTGCTCTGGGTGGGACCCCACGGCCGAGCACCTCCCCTCTGCCCCACCCCTGCTCCCACCCTTCCCAGCCCCAGGATCCTCCCCAGTGTTTCAGGTCTGGCTCCCTCCCAGCCCACGGGTCCCCATCCATATGACTGGCTGCCCGGGCACCTCCATCTGCCTCCCCTTCATTGCCTGGGATCCTCACAGACCTGGAGACCAGCCCTCTGGCTGTAAACCCGCCAGGTGAAGTAGAAAGAGCTCAGCTTGGTCTCAAGGCCCCCAGACTGGCTCCTAATGCCCTCCCGTCCTTCCCAAAGAGGGGCCTCCGGGCCTGACCTCCAGCGGTGCAGCGCCTGCGGCCTGGGGGCCCCTCCCAACCAGATCCAACGCTAACTCAGGCATCACACTCGACCAAGCGAACGAGACAAACATGCGGTGGGCCTTCAAGAAGCTCCTCAGGCAGCAGAGAGACAAACATCAACGAGTCAAACTCACATAGTCCCATCTTTCCACTGCAGTGCTTGTCCTGCGATGTGAACACAACACTAAGACCAGGGGCGAGGGTGAGGGCG